TCTGTCTTCATTGTTTTGGTCAGCACCCTTAGGCTCTTTCATTACAGTACACCTGAACTTTCCTCTTTAACTGTATTTGTTATAAATAACTTTAATTTTCCAAAACCATCAGGGTTTATGTTCCCTCCCTTTTCGACCCACGAGCTGGCTAGAAACAGGACCGTACAAACCAAAACCAGGAAACACAGGCGCTCTGTGGATGCTCTGTGGATGCTCTGTGGACGCTATCCGTCTCCCTCCTTCTTTTCATCGTGGACAGTATCCTAAGCGGTACAGTGTCCTCCCAGCAGGCCTTCATAGTGGAGAGCTTTGGCCTAATTAGGTTTCTAACAAGTCCAGTTGTCTTTGTAAAAATGAGGAGGGTCCACGCCGTGATAACAAAGCCATGGGGCCCGGGCGCTAAGCCTATAGCGACAGATGCTAACTGGGGTAAATCTCTGTGAAACAAAGCCATTAGACAGCATCAGTGTGGGGGGGGGGGGTCAGTCCCTGTTCCTGGATCAGTCAGGATAAAGTTTGTTGTTCTTACTTACGTGGATCAGAAAAACGAATGTTCAGCCAATTAGACGACTCTGAACCAGAAAATATTTAAAGATAATTAACTAATGGGTTTTTTCCAGTAGCTCATATTACACTGTAGAGACCTGAAGATCGTATTTCCATTTACTGACATGTTAGTTGGGAGTAAAATTTAAATATTTTCATAAAAGAATACCACCATATGTCAGGTAACAAGCACTTCATTGTTTCTGAAGTACAATAAAGTATAATATAGTATGTTTAGTATCAACTTTGACCAATTTACAATTGGCTTTGGACCACATTTCTGTTTGGTTTGAGAGATTTGAACTCAGGTCTCTAAGGGTTAAAAATCGGAAGTGGTTTGAGCCATCCATTTTCTCTTACTGCAACCCAAGTGGACTCTACCGGTCTTACTACTAAGTCAAACAAACTTCTGCAAAATGATCGGCCCAGGCCCTTGATCTCAGGGTCCAGTATTATTTTACGGGTTTGCTTTTGGGTTGAAGACTTTAAAAACGATTCTAAAGACTTGGGAATGACAAAAAAGCTGGAATGTGAAGAAGGAAAAGCAAACCAATTTGACCAATATACAAGCTGGCTTATGATTAACGTTGTCAATATTTTAAACACTTGAATACTACACGGTACCACATGTGTTAAGTGCTGCAAAACGTTGGACTTTTTAACCTGACTTTAACTTAAGTTACATATCCAATCAAGCTGGAATCATCCATCTTTACTCTTTTGTTATGGCTCAACTCACAATGAAAGCCAGACAGGTTGAAATTCCCTCAGGTGTCTCCGCACCTCTAAAAATGGAAAGTCTGCACAGCTAATTGCTTCAAAACGTTTAATAACCACTCTGACTTTCATGGCAGCAATCAGTTTGTCAGAGCAGCAGAAATGAAACTCTTCATTTTGTGTTATTAGAGGTGAAAGCTGAGCCCTCACACCCCCTCACACCCCCCTCACTGCCCCTCACTCTGTCTGTCAGAGAGCCGAACAGGTAACCCTCGGCCCGCCTCAGGCTTCACCCCCCCCCTCCAATCTCCCACATATCATCATCATCAAAAGCAGCAGCTGCTCTTTGAATCACCATTTATCTCCTGCTGCATTGTCCTGCAGTCAGCTCAGGAGGAGGAGACTGTCTGCGCCGTCGAAAACACTGAAACCCGAGCAAGACGAGAGAAACCCTGCGACCTCCAACGATAGCGCGACTCACACTCACTGTACATGAACATTAAAGCCACAAGTTCTCTTAAAACTGCAGCGACAAAAGCACCTAAGACAAAACAACATTCAGGTGTTTCACAGGGATCATAATTAGAAGTTTGTCTTAAATCTCAGCTTCATTTAAATCATCCTCAGGGGACCAAGAGTTTGTAGATTATATATCATACACTCATCAATTTCTTTTTATACATGGATGCAATACTACATGGTTACTACAGGTGAGCCACATATTTCAATGATTCTGCACATTAAAAAGGAAGGATTGCGACTTTTGCTTAAGAGTGGCTTATTTGGGATACATTTTATTTTTCATAATGTGAAGCCTGTGTCGGTAAGAAAACCCTTAAAGAGCAAGCGACAACCTCTGCTGTTGAAAAATGAAACCGATACAGAAATGCACCAAACTGCAGTTCCTCAAGTGTTCACTTGAGGCTGTCTACAAAAGACAAGAAACCCCATTAGGTCGCGTGACAAGAAGCTGTTTTTACAGCAGAAATAAACATGTTTACAGCCTGGTTCAATGATCGGTTTGGGTCTCTTAGGCTTATCTCTATAATGGTAAAAACTCTACGAGGGTTTACATTTGTTACTGCTAACTTGTGTCTACGAGTGATGCATAAATCTCATAATTAGGGGCGTGGCTTAGTTGACTGACAGGTGTGCACGCTGTAGCTGTAAGCCAGGAGGCTTAAGGCTCGCATCAGCTCCACGTCTCTTTCTGTTTCAAAATTTTTTTAGAAACAGAAACCAGTGTAAGGTGGAGGTATCATTTTCAATATGGCCACTGCCAGCGTTCAGCTTCAAAATGCCTCTTCAGAAACCAGTGAGTGAAATCACTGAGATGCATCCATGTTTTCTACAGTCTCATAGAAATGAACATGATGTTACTTTACGAACTCAATCAGACATACTGTACATCAAGGGAAAACTATCAGGGATGTGAAGCACACACACACACACACACACACACACACACACACACACACACACACACACACACACACACACACACACACACACACACACACACACACACACACACACACACACACACACACACACACTCTCTGTAGTGGGTGGGGTTCGTAGTTGTCGTCTTCTGTGATTGGTCGGCCCCTACTTTCCTCACAAAGACTAACATCTGCTCTGAACTGAACAGGTGACATTCATCTCAAGTGACACACAACATACGGCTGGTACACAGAAGCACACACACACACACACACACATATATATATATATATATATACACACACACACACACACATACACACACACACAGTCGCTAACACTAATTATTTTTAAAGCTCTCAAACAGATTGAGAGAAACATTCTTCTGCTGTGGTTATTTAAAAACTACGAGCTCAGCAGATAAAAGCTTCCTCTGCATAAAATAAACATGTTAAATATAGCAGGATGTACACGACTCTACTTTTTATATTTTCCTGATTATTCCACAAACTAACCAGAGATTTGCGGTGCCTAAACGTGAGCCTGCTAACCAGAGAGCGGAGGGTCATTAGCTCCAGCGAGCAGTAGCTCTGACTGAGTCTCTGAGTTTGTAGAAACCAGGAGATAAGAATGTCTTAATCTGCCTCTAAATCTTAAGGACAATACGCCGGCTCGACATGAGCCTAAATCCCTCAGCGCTCACATTTACAGAGCCTCTTCTGGCGGTGACCCTCTGCTGCTCACCATCGACACAGGGAGGCTTTGTCAGCGCTGTCAGCACAGGAGGGGCAGAGGAGATGAAATCCCCCCCCCCCCAAAAAAAAAACAGTTCACTCAGAGGATTGCTAGCTGGCTTTTTAAGGCTTTTATTAAAGTGAAGAAACTGTGGAAGTTTGTATTTAACTTCTCTTAAGCTCAGACAATTAGACATTAGTGCATCCTGAAATCTTCCAAATCTCCCCAGAAAACCGTCATAATAAAGATAAATGAACAGAACATGTAATGTCAAGACACAGAAAGCGTTAGACTCTGTTTGGGTAAACGTTTGTCTCCTCAAGTGTGATCTTAACTCGATAAAGTCAGGACAAAGACTCGTTAAATGTCCTGTTTTTAAGTAGCTTTAACTTACTTTGGCTTTTTTGGTCCAGCTTTATATTAAAGGTTTTACATCAACAAACCAGCAGAAAGCAGTATTTTTAGATTCAGCTTCTGTTCTGTTTGGTGTGAAGTTGTCCAAAGTTTTGATTCTTTTTGATACACCGTGTTTTAAAACGATATCATCTCTGTTATTTCAAGCTTTAAAAAGAATCAACTAAAGATCTTCAGTTATATTTCTAACTAAAAGTGTGTAGTGTCACAGTCAAGACCAAGACATACACGAGACCAGAGTGCTCCGAGACCGAGACATTTAGGGATCAAGACCGAGTCAGGACCAAGACCAAGACCAAGACCAAGGCAGAAGGAGGCAGAGTTAAGACCATAAATATCTCTGAATAATCGTAACCGGGGGATAAAAATCTAATTATAAATGAACTGAAGTTATTTGTTCTTTTAGAAAGAGGAGTTTTCATTCTAATCCAAAAAAATAGCCTCTCAGTGGTGATCTTGATCGGTCATGAGTTGAAATCCAGAGTCCGCCCAGACCGAGACAAAGCGGAGTAGAAATGCTTTAGATTCTGAGACCTTCAAAAAGACTGGTCTTGAGAAAAGACCGATTTTGCGTCCTACAACACCACATGTGTGTTGAAGAAGTTGTAAAACCAGCTGATGGCAGAGCCCTGTTGGTCTTTCTACAGACTGAAGGTATCATATATAACGCTGAGGTGTGTTGGAACGACATGATGGTGCTCTGTCTGATCCCTTTAATGTTTGGAGTCAACGCAGAGCTTCAAAAGCCAAAGACTCACACCGTGTGAAGAAACACACGTCTACGTTCCCTCGTGACTCTCTGCAGTCAGATCTGTGGAGTTTGACACCTTACAGAGGAGAAATCCTAAATATGACTAAATGTTAGATGTCAAATCCAGCCTCTGAAGCAGCTTAGAGGGACTCCTGTTAATTCTTCTAACCGACCCTAAACATCCATTCATACAACCCAATGTGACCTCTGACCTTCACCTCGTCTGCATCCAAAGTTTTCACAACACACGGATCAAAGAGATAACACAGAATCACTCAGGGTTCAATTCAGGGTTCAGGGCATTTTAAGACTTGTTTTTCTCAGGAGAACTTCCCCTGGTGGTTCTGTTTCTGTGGAGACGTGACCCGTGCAAAAGAAAATGTGTTGTTCTTACCTGTCCGAAGTCTGTGGCGAAGACGACGACCCCTCCAGAGCACGAGGACACGGTGCTGGGGAGGTACTGCTCCTCCTCCCGTAGCCACACACGGTCACCCTGCAGGAAGAGAAAAATAACCAATTATTATACTCATCAAGACTTACAAGAGTTACTTTAAATTTTTAACTGCAGATCAGGGGCGCGGGTTTAGCTCAGTGGTTAAATCACACGGCCCATTTAGCGCCCCATAAGTTGAAGCCCCACGCTCGATTCCCAACATCGGTCATCCCCAACCTTCTTGTATCACTCTACTGTTTTCAATGAAGGCATGAAAAGAACAAACAGTAGAACCAAATACAGCAGGCTGCAGCAAGAGGCAACCAGTCAGTTACTTTAAAACAAGGTGGAAAACATTCATCCACACCACGGCCCGATTTAATCTGTTTGCATATTCTCAGTGTCTGACATTCAGGACTGATTCAACGAGTGTCTGGTCTTTCTGATGCTGAAAAACCACAAACATCGAATAAAGAAATCCAACGACTCCTGCGATCTACCAGGTGACAGCAGGTCTGAAGGAAATGGGACTGGAAGGTCATTTAATGCTAATGTCTGTCGTGTGCTTACTGAAATATAAGCTTCATCATCCCAATCTGTGGTTACCATGGCATCACCATGGTACCAACCTTTTCTCTGACCAATAGGAGCGCTGTGGAACTGTGCAGTGTTGGGTTTCTGAAATCTGTTTCTTGCAGGAGCCACACAGGAGGCCAATAAAGCTGCATGTTTATTGATGCTTCTTTTAGTGAGCGAAAAGAGAAAACACTTTTATATACCTGCTGACCTGTCGACTTTACTGCCCCAGGTTACTGCAGGGTTCCCCCCCCCCCGCCCCCCCACCTCCTCCTGGCTGACAGCTGGATTTTTAATCACCACTGTTTCCTCGCTCTGCTGAGTTTGTGGAGAATTATTGAAGAATGTGAGGAATCTGAGGAGAAAGTCTGAGACTACACGTCGTGTTTGGAGGTTTCAGGTTCAGAAAAAAGTGGTGACACACACACAAGCTTTTGTGTTCCCTTTTATTCTGTGATTAAGAAGATGATACTGTCGGCCATTTTTTAACCGGGCTAATAAATGCAGAAAAGGTCCATTAAACTTGTAACTCAGATCTCGTAGCTGGGAATGACGTCACACCTGAGTTAACCACGTTCCAGTTGAGAGTTTGGCAACAAGTCTAGCAAGCAAGGTGGCGGCCTCCAGGAGAACCTTTGTTTTGGTGGCTAGACCAGGCGATAACATCAAACTAAGTGATAGGCGTGAAATAACATGACAACATTTCCTCAGATAGAAAGTGCAGAATACCCATGATCAAAAAAACAAAACATTAGGCTGATCCCTGTAGCATGCTATGAGATTTCACTAGAGGACTTTGTAACAGAGATTATTTGTAACTTGAAAAAAAAACAAGCAGAAAAAGCTCGTTATCACAGGAAAATGGAGTTAATAAAATGTGTGTATGTGTCCGCTTCAGGCTTCCATAGCAATCAGAGCAAACTACACTCCAGAGAAAATATCAGACGAGGAGTAATAAACCCTGCAGATCTCTTCCTGTTCAGATACATCTGAGCTGAAGAACAGAAGGACCCTCGCACTCCATCCCCTCCTAATCGCATAGCCACATGCTGCCAGCGTTCATTAGCGTGACATGCTAATGCTAATGGGAAAAACAAACGCTGCACTTTTAAAAGAGAAGCCCCTCCTCTTTTTTTGAACAAGTCATATGAAGGACCTTTGACCTAAAAGCCCCCTCGTTCTGACAGAGTCGTACCAGAGCGGCGGTGAGGGGCACCTGGCTGGGGGGGAAAGTTAACGGATGAATGGATGGGACACACACACACACACACACACACACACACACACACACACACACGGGCTGAGGGTAAAGCTCAGGTCTGCAGTGTCAGCAGTGGATCAGAGGAGAGCTGTGTGTTGTTCTACCCCCCCGTCCGTCCTCTCTGCAGAGGGAAACCGCATGATTCAAAGATCCTGGGATGTCCCGGGGAGAGACAAATCTGACACTTGGAGGAAACTCATGAAGAAGAGTCGTCTTCTGATCACAGAGTCTGACAGAGAAATGACTCGTCTCCACTCTTGACGGTGTGCAAAAGTCTAAAGGAGAAGTAAATAGAGAAGAGGAACGAAAATATTCTGCGCTGGTCTGGAAGATTCTTCTTTAATGGGGCTTTCTGCTGAAATATTGATATGAACTTTGGACCCAAAGAAAATAAAGTCACATGCATTCAACATCTCAAGGTGAAATAAAATCAGGAATTATGCCGTATGAGAAGTGACACGACCAAGCCAACAGGATGCTCAGAATCACCTGTCTGTGAAAATGTGACTTGAGACATCTTCCTTTAACTGATTCTTAAAGGATTTCATTTCTCAGTTTAGCTCTGATTGCTAATGTTAGCAGAGGTTCAGAGAAAGGGGGTTAATGTATCAAATGATTCATGGTCAGTTTTATCAAGTTAAACAGATATACGGACACACAGCAGCAGAGCCTTCATTCTGATGTTGACAATGGCTGACGTCTGGCTCTTTGGTGCTCCAGATAGAAACCCAAACAAAGGAAGATGTCTCATTGTAGCGTGCACAAAGACGAGGCGTGTGCTGTTTACCAGTCGAGGCCACGCGGACATTCCCGATGTGCAGCGCCCGAGGAATCTGACGCTCCCATCGAGAAAGAAAGAGAGGGGTCTGGCTACTCCCTGCAGAACACTTTGCAAAGGATCTTTTTACCACCAAAGACCCCCTAATACACACACACGAAGACACACTCAAACACACTCACACACACACACACACACACATCAAAACACACTCAAACACACACACACACGTCCATGGTCTTTTGTGTGCAGCGTGTGCCGCCCGCCCTCTCTCTGCTGAGGGGAGAGAAAGGGGCATCACTTTCTTATTGTCCTCTCCCTCCCTTCTCCCTTAATCCACTTCTTCACCCCTCCCTCCCTCCCTCCTTCACACACACACACACACACACACACACACACACACACACACACACACACACTGAGCTAGGGCCTCTGCTTCACCTCCTCTCCCTCATTCATCTCCACTGATTGCCTGAAACTTGAACATCAAAGATTCCATTTTTACTTTCCGATGGACCGAAGAAAACATAGAACCGGGATGCATAGATCCACGAATGGATTTCAACTACACTGGTACTCAAAGAAACTTTACACACTTTGTTGGATCGTCTATCCTGACAGCACAAGTTGTCAAACAATGCACTTTCACACTCCATACTTGACACATCCTGGATCCCATGCTTTAATTTATGACCATCTAGGCTTCAGTTCTGCACCTGCAGGGCTCTACGGCCAGGTAAGCAATTACAAAAAGCAGCACATGGTTAGGACTAAAAAGAAAGCTAGAATTCTAGGCAAACCTGAGGAAGCTACAGAATGCAGTTAAGTCATGTCCAGTGTGCCACGGTTCATCGAGTGGTTCATTGTATGCTCCTGCAACCGAGCGTCACCTGAGTACGTAGGCTGGCTGTGCACAAAGTACCCTGTTGGTCGTTTAAAATGAAAGCTACTTGAAACATTTTAGCATTCAGAGTTTTGGATGTGCAACACCCATAAACGTGGTTAAAGCTTAAAAAGGAAACTCTTCATTATTGTTGTGCTCACACACTTGTTGGCTAGAGGTTAGGAGAGTATAAAGCCTTGATTTGAAACCTTTTACCACGTCCTGTGACCTCACAACAGCAAGCGAGAGGTCAGCTCACATATCGTCATGTTTTAATGCATGGGATACTGACTGTATCTGAGAACAGGCTATAGCAGTAATGTGAGACTCCTGCTGAAAACAGTCTTACTTCCTGGTTTATTTATGTGCTTCGGTCCAATATCCCCTCCAGTTGGGCTTCCAAACATCTGATGTCATGAATGTTTCAGATTCCCCGATCTTCCTTGGCTCTCGCCGTGCCAAAGAGGCTCGACAAATAAACACCGCGATATTCCAGAGACTTCACACAGAACGGCTTTTTGTTGGCCCAAAAAAAGACGTCCTGAAAAACTCCTCAAAATGAAAACCAACAACTTTTTTTTTTTTTGAATATCGTAAGAAAACAAACGCAGTTATGTGGATTTTTCTAGCAAAGCAGAGACATGAAAGGAAAGCCGGGGCCTCAGCCGAGCTAATGTCAACACATGAGCCGGGGGAACGCTAAAGAGACAGGACAGGGAGCTGAGGGCTGGGTGGATCAAGGCCCAGCTGTTACACCAGTAACACCAGACCTGTGAGGCGCTCACTCCAGTTAAACCTGAGTAAACTATCTCACGGGCAGAGTCATGGCGTCACAGTCAGGCTGGAATATTAAAGACGAAATCAGGCATTTTTAAAAACTGGATACATCTTTTAATGAGGCTAACATGTGGATTTATGGTGCGCTCTATTCACTTCGTAACTCAGATCTCGGAGCTGGGAATGACGTCACACCTGAGTTAATCTCGTTCCAGTTGAGAGTTGGCAACAAGTCTCCAGGAGAGCCTTTGTTTTGGTAGCTATACCAGGCGATATCATCAAACTAAGTGATAGTTTGGGTGCGAAATAACATGACATTTCCTCGGATAGAAAGTTCAGAATACTTTCTTAGTGATTGAATTAATAACACACAATAAACTTCTCTGTTGATGCACGAGGCAGCCATGTTGGATTAAACTCGGGGTACTGAAGTTGCTTCGAGTTCCAAGTCAGAATACCGACTTTGTTCCTGATGACGTATCAGACCGGCAACGTGGTATTTTCGACTTCCAAGATCAAATTGAACGCACCATCGCTCCAGCCTGAGGTCACAAAACAGGCTTTAAATGACTGCGAGTCAGAGTTTGGTGGGTTTTAAGATGGCGATGGAACATCTGCTTCCTGTTGGAAAAACAGCGTCTTACTCGAGCAACAAGCATTTTCTCTTAATTGATTATTTCTTGGATATTGACAGACATTTCAAACAACAAACTGAGACTGCTGGTGGAAGAAAAAAAAGTAATCTGTTGTGAGTCGATAATCCAGTACTTTTGCCTCCATTAAAG